GGCGTCCTCGGGAGGCCGTCCGGCGCCGGCCTCCCGAGTGGCTGCTCTCCTTTGTGGCCTCGCCGCGCCTCGTGGTGGGTGATCGGGCTGCCTTCTTTCGCGGAAAGGCGGCCGGGATGGTCGGGAAGCGTAAAGGGGCAGCGCAGGTGCCGCGGTCCAGCAAGAAAGTCAAGGGACAGCGTCCAGCCGCCGCCGCCGCCGCCTCCTCCTGCCCGGGTCGGAGAACTTGTGAGCAGCTAGACGGTAAAGACACCCGGACCTCGAGCAGGGAGTAGGTTGAGCGTCGGGGTGGTGGGCAGCGTGGAAAGTTATTCCAGGGTGGAAAAGGAAGGAGTAGCTGTAATCAAAGCGGCTTTTTTTCTCAATCCTTGCAGATTGGCGCCTCTTTCGCCTCATGGAATGGCTCCTTTGCCCTTCTTGCGCGACGCGAAGTTGGCCGCTTTGCCGCTTCGGGCGGATTTCTGTTATGCAACGCTCGCGTGCACATGTTAAGAAAAAGTTGCCCACTACTCTTGCTCAGCCTCTTAACTTTTCCTTTAAAATGAGTGCTGCTTAATCTTCCAGCTTAAAACACCTTTCTGGGGTATGTGTAATAAATAATGACACCAAAGGGTAATACTGTACAGAATAAAGTTGTGAATGAAATATGAGTTGTGTAATGCCACGTGACAGTGCACACTTTGAACGTTCCTGTGTCGGGTTACTGCTGATGTTACATAAAGTTCTAAGTTCTTAGTCGCAATAATATATGCTTAAGATTACTAATGTTTCATAGGAAGAGAGGACCTTTTCTCTCTCTCTTTTCTGAAGAGTGAAAGCCGGGGCTGATTTAAGTTCTTTATTCTTCTATCAGAAAAATGAAAGTGTATGGGGTACTGCTTTCTGCTTATTATGTTATCGAGTTATTATGTCCTTATTTTTGTTAATGCATCATGGATGTTCATTAATCTTTGCTGAGAATCAGAAATGATTTTGTCATTAATAGAAAGTTTTAGGGTTCATTTATTGCTTGCAGTATCATGTGCTGTAAGCTAAGAATAAGAGAGATTATTGGGTCAATAGTAAAACACTGATTTATTTGAATTGATTAAAAAAAATCTGCTTCTCTACACACTTAAGTAGAAGCATCCTGTTAATTTACAAATCCTTGCAGTTTAATTTTGAATAGAATAATTGGAAGCTAAGTGGGTTTTCTTTCTTAGCAAGTTGCTTAAAAGTCTGTGGGCTATTTTTCCTCAGTGACATTTGTAATTTTCTCTATTTTTGATACAGATGATTTTGAAGATGAAAAACCTGAGAAGACAAATAGGCTCAAAGTTTCATCTGGAAAAAAGAAAAAAAAAGTCCCTCAGCCACTTCGTAAAAATTCCAGCCAAAAAGGACCAAAACGCAAAGTGAAGGAGGAAACGAATAGAGGTATTGAAAGTCAAGAGTCCTTTCCAAAAGCAGGAAAATGCAGGTGAGCAGCTTCAAAGCTTTTATAGACGTTTTTGAAATACAAATATAAATTCTTAGAATTGAAAGAGGCCATTAAGGCTATCTAGTGGACACCTCTGCTTAGTGCGTGAATCCAGAATAAAGCATCTCTGACAGATGACTGTTTAGCCTCTGCTTGAATACAGAAAAGAGGAGACCACCGCCTCCTGTTGTTAAACTGCTTTGGTGTTGTTGTTGTTTTCCTAAAATGTAATGAGAATCCATTTTTTTCTGTAATTGCAGACCATTATTTGGTGGTTCTAATTTCTGGAAAGATAGAAAGTAGTACTGTACTTGATGTTCTGAAGAGGTATGACACCTCTTCAGATACTTGGAAAGTGTCATTACATCCCCTCTCAGTTGCCTTTTCTCAAGGCTAAATGTACTTAGTCCCCTCAGTCACTCTTCATAAGGCTTAGTTTCTTATCACCTGATCGTCCTTCTTTAATCCTGTGCCAATTTTTCTAAAAACTAAAATAGTCTCTTAAAATGTACCCAGAACTGCACAGAGTACTCCAAAACAGGATCTGCCCAGTGCAAAATATATTGGAACTTTTATTTCTGAAAGTTTAAACTGCAGTTTTTCTTTTTTTCACACTTATTGTTATCAAAGCAGATATCTCCTAATCTTAATGCCTGTGAATTAGGCTTATTTTTCTTAAGTGTAGAATGCTGCATTTGTAGCCATTAAATTTCATGCGGTTTTCTTCCCACTTTTTCACCTATCAGGATTCTTTAGAAGTTTGCTTATGTCTCCTTGAAGCATTAGCTATCCCACCCAATTATTGTATCATCTACAAATCTTCCCTTCATATTGCCATCCACACCATTTCTAAAACAAATGAAATGTAGTAGGCCTGGAACTGAACCCTGTGGTATTCATTTATATCTTCTTATGTAATCTACTTTTATACAATTTAGCACAAAGTGGCTGAAGGATCTGGTATGATGTTGGTTTTGTGTCTCAGTTTATTCTTAGTCTGGTCTTCTGTAACCATGTATAACTTTTATACTGATATGAAGTTGGAATGCTTTCAGAAATATTTTATCCTCAACTTTCATAAATTAGAGCCTCCTAAGATTTGTGCCAGTGCTTGTATTTATGAAATACAAATTTTTCCCTTCCCTTTGTTGCGTGGGAGCCTTTTAATTAATTTATAAGACTTATATGGTCACCTATCTTATACAATAATCCAAGGTGGCTCACAACAAAATAAAACTACACCATAAAAGGATTTTATACCCTTCCTGCCATGGCACCATGATAACCCATACTCACTGGCTCATTCCCATGCTGGCCCAATACTTGGGAAAGAGCCAGGTATTCATGGCCTTTCAGAAGGCTAAAAGAATGGGATGCCTCCTTTTTCTTGAGTGGGTGCTAGTTCCTCTGATGTTTGTATTTAGTGTAAATTAGTCTGCTAAATTCTGCTAAGTTCTGGTTCTGGAGGTAGATGACAACAGCAAAGACAGAGTTATGGTGGAAATATAGAATGTAAGAAGCATAAACATGGATAAGCCCAACACTGAAAAATGAATCATTGACATCTTAGGCATCAGCAAATTGAAATGGAATTGGACACTTTCAGTCAGAACATCATACTACTCAAGACATGAAAAACAAAGAAGAATGCCCTGCTTTCATAGGAAGGATATAGCCAAGACAGTACCTGGGTGCAATGCAGTCAATGACCAAATAATATGTATTAGACTTTGTAAACAACCTTTTAATATTACAGTTCCCCAAGCTTCAGCAGGTGATGCATTAGAAAAGGAGATTGATGACTTTTATGGTCAAGTTCAATCTAAAATTGATAGAACATGCAAGCAAGATGTTCTATCAGTTGTTTCTGTTTGGAATCTGGAATGCCAAAACTGGAAACAGTAAGGAGGAAAACATAGTTGGACCCCATGGTTTAGGAAGCAGAAATGAAGCAGGATAACAGTTTATCAACATCTGTCAATCCAGTGATTTCTTCATTACTAATACAGTTTTTAAACAACTGAAGCACCTCATATATGCATGGACATCACTAGATGGAGTACGTAGAAATCAAATTGACCGTATTATTGGCACAAGGAGGGGGAAGAGCCCAGTGATAATAGCAAATATTTGCATTGTTCTTCCCACCCCTCTGCCACCCTAAGAATGGAGTGGGGATTGTGCAACTGTCCTGTAGATGGAACAGCATATAGAGTAAAATGATGACATTGTATGGAACCCAGCACTGGCCACATTCAAACATCACACTAAACCCCCAGACATGAATTAACTTCAGTCCTTTTTCCACTGTGCAGTAGCTATATGGAACTTAGGGGCTTTTATTTTCTGCTTTTGGTTACACATAGTTTGTTTTGTTGTCTGAGGTAATAACCAGTGATTAATATTATTGCCAGCGTGAATCATATCGGGAAGAAAAGCCGAGTATGTGAGGGAAAAAAATCACAATATATTTCTTTTTGAATTCAATAGCGGTTTGCAGAGCACTCCTTTAAAGAAAGAGACGGATGCAAAAAAAGCAATTATTACAAAGAGAGAAGAAGATGAGGATGAGGAAAGTGAGGAAGAATGGGAAGATGTGGAAGGTAATGCATTCTTCATTTTCTGCTACATAAGTCATTTTGCTTCATTTTCTGATGGCTATTTTGGCTTCTCGTGTTTTGTGCTTATGTTCATACTAAAGTCATCCAAAGGTTATCACAGATCTATTGAACGTTGTGTTTGTTTTATGCATGTCTGAGCCTGATTGACTAAAAGCTTCTTCTGAGACATTGCAGGGAAGATCACAGCCTTAAGTAAATTACAGAGAACTACACTGAGTTTTCAGTTGTGAGTAAGATGAAGAAGCCACCCCTGGTCCTCCAGAAGCTGATTGGCTGAAACTTTCATTTAGCATGTCATCCAAATCTTTCACAAAGATCATCCTTAGATGATGTAGTGAAAACATAGCAGTGTTTTAAACAATAATTTTAAATCAAATTTATTTATTTGTTAGACTTACACCCACCTTTTGTTCAGGAACTCAAGGTAGTGTGCATAGTGATCCCACCACCCATTTTTTCCTCATAACAACCGCTTTGTGATTTGTTTCCACTAGTTGTAGTTTATCTGAGCTAAGATGGTACAATAAGCTATGATTAATTAAAAATAAAGACAGAAGCTTGTAAAAAGGGGAAGAAGAATGAAAAATGTGTAGCAGGTTCATTCTGATGCTGAACTATTCTTTAGTATAATTATGAAACTCCCCTCCCTTAGAAATCTTTCCCCTAGAAATAAGCAAAGGGTGAACCCATATTTTATCTGTAACATTTCAGTAAGCAGGATTTTTATGCTGAACAAAGATTGCTTAATAAAAAAATTCCTCATTTAATGATGATCCCTTATGAGCTGGGCATAGCTGTTGGGTTGGTGTTAGAACAGAATGAAAGATCGCATTAGATTTCCAATGTAACATGGGTCCTGTGCCTTAACAGACATTTATAGATGTCTTTCCCGATTGATGCCCTACAGTTAGGTTGGAATTATGACTTCCTAAAATCCAAACCAGCATGGTCAGTAGTCTCCATAGGGCACCCAGTTGGGGAAGAATGACTCATAAAAGAATGCAGTATTTGCCTGATTGGTAGGCAAAACATATGTTATACTGATACACATTGTTTAGCCTGTTGCGAAAACACGTGACTCAGAAATACTCATAAACTCTCATATCTGATGCCTTCATATGTCTTTTTAATTTTCTGACATTCGAAACCAAATAAACTCATATTGGAAGCAGCCCTGAACTGGAACTGTTCAGTTCTTCTTTGAAACACACCGGTTGAATTTAGACTTTTGTTTCCAGAACTCTGTGAGCCTGAGGCAGAGATGCTGAAAGAAGTTATGGCACCAAAGCTGCCCAACAAAACTGTTGAGATAGAAATTGAAACACCTGAACAAGCAAATAAAAGAGAGAGAAGGTAGGCAGACTTCCATGTGGAGTGGACGCCTGCTGGAGTTGGGCAGCCAATAAATTTAAATAAAATAATAATAATAATAATAATAATAATAATAATAATATTATTTGGGAGTCTTCACAGCTGACTTGGCCTTTGGCTTTCCTACATTAGAGGGAAAGATCTCATATCAAAGATTTTCTGAGTTTTTGCTATGAACTCTCACTTTTTCCAGTATGGTCCCCAAGTTTTGTAAATGCCCTTTGCTATGTATATTTATTAAGTTTATGTGTTACTTGCTTTTAGGATTAAGGAAAAGCAGTTCTGCTTGCTTAGTGTTTTGGTGACCTTTGCTGACATTTTGTTTGTGCTGTCCTTATCTTTGGCTACTAGATCCATTTCTTGTTATATTTTGCTTTGCATTATTTTAATTGACTCCCATGATATTAGGAAGCAAGTAACAATATACATATTGCCAAATAAAAGAAAGAAATTCACATATCTGGTAGTCATATATAATGTATAGCTTCTGGCAGATTGTAATGTAAAGCAGTCCTTGTGGTTTCCAGTTTTAAATGATTGCACAAAACCTAGATTAAGGGTGGGGACTGTAACTTTTAAGAGAGTGATGGGAAATGGAGAGCTGCTTTATGCATTTAATCAGAGCTGATATTTTTTGTTTTTCCTGGGAAGGGGCTCTTTTGGAGTTTATTGATTTGGGATTTCACTATTTTCATATATTTCTTACCTGAAGTGGATAGGATCCCCAGCAACCATTTTTGAAAGAGCCTTCAGGGACAACAAAATGGGACATGCTTATTTAGAAAGAGAGATCCTAAAGTCATTATAGCATAGAACTCATCATGAGTTTGGAATCTTGCAGAGAGAAACAGCAAGCTGAGTTTGAGACATATCTCCGTCGAATGATGAAACGCTTCAACAAAGAAGTCCGCGAAGATACACATAAGGTTTGATCTTCAGTGTTAAGGTGTCAGAAAATAGGGAGACTTCTAGGGGCAAAGCACAGCTTTCTGAAGTATTACATCTTTTATAAGTAATTTACCCTGGCAATTAAAATAATTGAATTTGAAGGTATTTTAAAGTTAGGATCATCTAATAACCCCCTGTTCAATGCAGGACTTAGAATGCAGTATACCATTAATATATTCTTGATCAGTAACTATCCAGTATCTACATAATCAGATTTCTGAAAGGAAAGCTCATTGCTGTAAAAACAATCTGTTTCACAGTTGAGCAATTGGAGGAACATAACAGACATCCAGGTATGTTAGTGATTTCCAAAAACTAATGTATTCTTACTGGAACAAAATGCATCCTAAATTTTTGGGAGAAGTTTAAAAAAATGTTCCTGTATACAGTATTTTAAATTAGCACTTAATAAACATAACTCAAGGGATTAATTTCTCTTTAAGAATAGAGCTGGATTTCATTTGAGAAACCTGTTTATTGCTGCTTCTTTGCCCAGAGTGGCATATAAGCTGTACATGCAAATTTAAAACCACATTTTAGAATTCAACCACCGCATGCATCTTAAAAATAAACTGAGCAGTCAAAACAGTAGCAGATGTAGATACAACCACAAAAAGGAACCAACTGGCAAACTGGCACTCAGCTAAAGATCAACTCAGTGGCAGTAGAAACATACAGGACTTGAGGCAGAGAATATTAACTTCCTGTAGCTTCTCACAAGAGATTATTACATTGTTAGGACAATGCAGGAAAAGCGTCAGTGCATACTTTAACCTTGCAGACTTTACAGATGGAAAATGTATGAGCTGAGGGCTATATTACTATCACTAGAATTTTATGAATTTATTTGATTGCTAATCCAGGGAGAGAAGAGAAATAAGGCTATTCCATCCCCTCGGTTGAAAGCAGAGTATTCACTCCAGTTGGTCATGATAAAAACTATAACTACAAATGCCTTCCTGGATTTGCATTTTTCTTCCTTCCTCCCTGTCCCTCTTTTTTTTTTTGTCTTGGAAAGTAGGGATGTATGCAGCTTGAGACCTCAGAGCCACTATCAGCTCCACAAAGCCTTGGCCCTCAGAGCTCCTTCAAATGCTACCACCCAATTTTAATCTTTAATATAATGGAGATGAGAAAAAAGTATTAACTGCATGAGGAATAATCACATTAATTTTGGTTAATTCATTTAAAATTAATTATATACAAAATTGAGGTGCACGTTTACAGTTTGCCCTGGCCCTGCCTATTTTTTGAAGTTTAGCCCTGGCACACCATTGAAAGTCCAAATGCAGGTCTTGTTCCACAAAATGATTATGTATGCCTGGACTAAAAAATGGGTAAAATACTTTTTAATAGGAATTAACCAATACAGTTACATGGATGATTGGGATGCTTAAAATTTATGTCTCTTATGGCTTCTCTGTCTCCTGTCAGCCAATGAGAAAGACACTGGGGTGCTGTGGGGGAGCAGGGCTGAGTAGACAAGTCCAACTGAATGGATCTGGCCCATGTTGGGCCTGTCCCCTAAAATGTAAAGAGCGCTTCAGTGCCTGTGATGTACCCTGTGGCTGCTTGCTTCCTTAGGATCTATCTCCTTTTCCCAACAGGTTCACTTATTGTGCCTGTTAGCCAACGGTTTCCACAGGAACAGGATCTGCCTCCAGCCAGACCTTCAAGCTATTGGTCTTTCTATCATTCCCATTCGTTTCACCAAAGAACCTGTAGGTCGCATCAACCGTCTGTTTCTGTCAAATCTTGTAAATTGGTAAGGTCTTTTCTTTTCCGTTTCTTTTTTTTTTTAATTGAATTTAATGTCCAACAGTGGAAAGTCTGGCTTTCGTGACTATGATTTCTCCAGGAATAAGGGTCTTATCTCCTTTTTAGTTAAAAGCGAGATAGCTTCCCTATCCCCTATTCCAGCTCCTGTGGTGGAGATAAGTGACTGGGCAAATAAATAAATTGTGGTTCTGTTGTTGTTTTTAAAATAAAGGTTTACTGCAACTTTCACTGTCAACAATGAGCTCTCCAACAATGAAGATTGGCAGGTTACTCTAGAGAGGCGTTTTGCTGTCTATGCTGCACGAGATGAGGCGGAACTGGTGCATGTAAGTGACAGAAGGCTTTGCCAGGCGTGCTGGAACCCTGCTATTTTGTAATCATGGTAAGGATAATGTGAGGGAGATAGAGACTAGAAGCTTGTATTTTTCATATACAGACAGAAAGATACACACATAGAGACTCCTATACACATCTCTCTCCTTTGGCCATGTATGTCATCGCTGGAAATTCTGTCTTTATGCTGAGCATAGCATACAAGCAATTTTTCAGAAATTATATATGTGTGTGCATGAGTGTATGTGTACACAGACACAGACATGTGGCAATGTTGCCATTCATGGCACCTGGGGAGAAGATTAAGGCTCCAATATGCCATAATTGTAAGGGAGAAAGTCTGCTTTATACATTTGTTTGGTTTCAAAACATTCACAGCAGTTATTCTGTGAGGGTAAACAGTGTTAACACTGAATGGGGGAAGGAAAGGTACAAAAGACAGATTCCAAACTTTTTTTTCCTTTCCTAATAGATATTTTTACTTATTCTTCGAGCGTTGCACCTACTATGCCGACTTGTATTGTCTTTACAACCCATTACCCTGAAAGAGCCATCTGGGAAGGTGAGTATGGCAAAATTGTTGCTATGTGTGCTTTTCCAGGAGAAGGTGCTCTCTGAACACACTGAGACTTACTTCTTAGTAAACCTCTCCTGTGTCTGTGTTTAATATCTTCGTTTATGCTTGTGTGTGTGCTTTGGTTTGCTTTCCTTAATTTCTTCAAGTCTTTATTAATTCCTTATTCCTCCTGAAATAAATTCAATGACTGCTCATCCAAATAAATAAATTTAAGATTTTTTAAAAAATTGAGATAACTACAGTTCATGGAGTAGGCCAGATTACCTATGGCTTGTATGTAAGTGGGATAGGATTGTACTTGCCGTCACTTCTTCAGAATGGTAAATATTGTAATATATAACTCCTTGGGTTGTATTTATCCTGCTATCTTCTGTAGCTCTTGCTTCAGTATCTGCAGAATGTAGAATTTGGGGTTGAGAAATGATATGGCAGTAGTTTATGCGTGGGAAGTAAATAGGGTAAGCCATACCCTATAAAGAGATGCAGCTAGAGATCTTGTAGATGGGATGTGCACAGGCAAAGTTGTTGTCTGAGTAATAGAACTAGTTTTTATAGATAATGTGTAGTTTTTAAAGGGAAGCAGTCTACTTGCAACAATAAATGTGTTTCTAGTCCTTATGGTTAAGGGAGAGAAAGGACTGAAATGTGACCCAGATGTGCAGTCCCTCATCATCATAAAGGCCACAAAAGATGAGTGGTGGTGGTGGTGGTGGAACTTAGTTACACAGAACTCCCTGTGTCGCTGAGACAAACAGCACAATCCACAGATCCAGCATCTCCACTGATGCACTGTAATTCATGCTGGGCTTCAAGTGGTGAACAGCCAATATATCTAACTGCTAAGAGCAGATCATTTTCTAAAGTCAAAAACCTGAAATTTAACTCAGTGGAGCTGTCCATATTTTTTTGTTCTGCTTTTGCCTCTCAAAATCTATAGCTCTCCTGCTTATTTGTTTCAGGGAAAGACCTCCAAGAGAGGCTCCATTTTGGTAGCTTCTGGGACATTGCCTGATTCTGCCAAAAGCTCTGTGGTTGCATCAAGAAAACGCACAGGAGCAGACACTCCCAAGAAGCCAAACCTCTCTAGGGCCAAAAGGCTAAGAAAGCAATCTCCAGTACAGAGGGATGTTCAGAAAGATACAAAATCTGAGAATGATAAGAGGAGCTTGAGGGCAAAAGAGGGGCTGGGGAGGCCTAAAAATGACCGACAACGGCAAGTGGCCTCAAAAGTGTCATATAAAGAAGAGAGTGGAAACAGTGAGGATAATGATTCTGAATTCTGTCCTTCGGAGGAAAATGATGACAGTAGCATATCTGATGAAGATTTTGAAATTCCCAGAAAAAAACTGAAGTCACCACTAGGAACCCCTAAAACAAAAGTAGCTGTTAAAAAGAGGCAACAACCAGTGTCTTCTGGGTCAAAAAGATCCAAGAACTCAGAAATAGTTGGTGGTTTGGTAGAGAAAACAGTAAGTCCATGTTCTTCAAACCTATCCAGGAAGAAAAACAAAATAATTTCTAGTGATGATGATGAAGAAGAAGAGCAGAGGTCAGTTATATTGAGAGGCACAGACCAGTGGGTAGAGGTTTTTCTTGAACGAGAAGACCGGTGGGTATGTGTGGACTGTGTTCGTGGCAGTGTTGGACAGCCTCTGCTATGCTTCAAGTATGCCTCAAAGCCAGTGTGCTACATCATTGGCATTGACGACAATGGATATGTAAAGGATGTAACACAAAGATATGATCCAGCATGGATGACGTCAACAAGGAAATGTCGTGTGGATGCCCAGTGGTGGGAAGATACCTTGGCACCATATAAAAGTTATTTTGTTGAACGAGAGGAAAAAGAAGAAAGAGAGGTAAATAAAATGGAACTGGAAGACATTTTTCCAGTAGCCAAAATTACATCCAGGACTCAATTTTTCCTTTACCCCGTTCTGATAGATATAATTCTCTGGGTTGCAAAAATGTGGAGCTCTCTCCTTTTACCTTGATCTGTTTTGCTACTTCTTTCGTCCAAGTCTTCAGCTAATCTGTTCCTGTTGGTCTACCCACTAACTCAGATGTGGTTTTATTCAGTTTCCCTTCAAGTCAGTTGTTGGCCAAATGACAGCAGAGCTTGTGGACTGACCTCTTTAAATGGCCCTCAGTATGGCTGGCTATTTAGCCCTTATAGCCGTTAAGAGGCAAATGCCTACACGTTCTCAGGTTTCAAGGACATCCCATTGATGAAAATGAGAAGTGTTTAGACCTCAGAATTTGAGTGAGCAATACTCTTTAGCTTGTATTTGTTTGTTTGTTTGTTTTTCAGTTGGATGCCACCTGACATGTATGTTCTATCCTCAGCACAACTCTAATGGATTGATACTTACATTCAACATTGTAATACATTTGATTAATTTATTAAATGTATACCCCACCTTTCTGCTTATATAAGCACAATGGCAGCTGAAAGTAACTAGAATAAAAATACGAAGTATAAAAGATGACATTAGAATAAGTACCATTAAATCAATTAACAGTTAAAAGTTTGGGGAAAGAGATTGTTTTTTTACATTTTTCTAAATCCTGGAAAGTGGGGTCCAAATGCACATCTTTAGGGAGAGCAGTCCATAGCCTGGAGCCACATAGAAGAAGGTTTCCTGTGTATCCATAATTGGGCAAGTTCATAGCAGAGAGATCCAGTTTGGTCTAGAGGTTAAGGCATCAGGCTAGAAAGCAGGAGACGTTATGTTCTAGGCCCACCTTAGGCATGATAGCCAGCTGGGTGACCTTGGGACACTCACCTTTCCTCAGCCCAACTCAACTCACAGGATTGTTGGGGGGGGAAATAGGAGGAGGAAGGAGTATTACATATGTTTGCTGCCTTGAGTTATTTATAAAAATAAGAAAGGTGGGATAAAAAATCTAAACAAAAAACTCCTTACTTTCTGGCAAAATCCACACAGTGAAAATAAGCAAAATTGAGATCACTTCTGGGAAGAGCAGGGATAGCAGTGATGGTTAGATAATGTCTAGAATGGTTATTTAAATCCAAAGCTTTGCACTAAGGCAGGGTGAACATACCAGGCCTCAATATTGTATTTTATCGCATCTTCCAAAAGCTGAAGAATATATTTGTAAGTGATTTCCTCTATAGTCTACTGCTAATAACATGATTCCCAGTTTCTAGCTAAACTTCAAGATCAGCCTTTGCCAAGATCCATCAGTGAATACAAGAATCACCCGCTTTATGCCTTGAAGAGGCATCTCCTTAAGTATGAGGCCATTTATCCTGAGACAGCTTCTATTCTAGGATATTGCCGAGGGGAGGCCGTGTATTCCAGGTGAGACATTTCTCAGGTGCACATGCTGTGAAGCATGGCTTCATTGGGTACCCTAGTCTGGCATCATCTCTTACTGTCCCACCAGCAATACCTTACTACTACTTATTTTGAACATTTAGACAAGGATCCATGTTTGCAGTCCTCACAATGAATGTTACTCATCCTCTTATCGGGGTACGGAGAGTTGCCTTATCTAACTTGGCATGGGTGATTGTCCTCAAACTTGATTAAACTTCAAAGTGTGCAATGCAGCACAGAGAACATTTCCATCCACCCAATTTCATTGAGAAAGTGAGGCTTGAGCTGACTGTTTGGAGACCGAGTGGGCCTTGGCTGTCCATCACTAGAAACTGTAGCTTGTTCCTACAGATTACATAGGAAGGATGAATCTGGTGTTTGTGGGTGGGAACCCAACATCCCCTTCATCCTTTGGTCTTTCCCTCCTAAAATGAATCCCATTTTTTCCCCCTCCACTTCTGTAGGAAGGTTTGGGCTGGACACGGGCAGGTGGGGCTACTCAGAGCATGTACATGAAACCTGTTTTTCTGCTTGACCTCCCAAAATCTGGTGCCAGAAAAGTCTACCTGTGCTGATTTTTTTCCAGGCTTTCACATCCCTACATTAAACAATGTGGGACTTTCTTACAACTAAGCATTCAGAGGAATGAGCTGAAGGTCAGCCAGCCTCTGTTTGATCCTACATTCACCCTCTTCCAACCCTCTTCTTTTCCAGTCAGTATAGATTTAGAATACTAAATGTCAAAAAGGCACTGGTAAATATATTCACTATAAATGCATTCTATAACCTACCTGCACTTTCATATGAAGTAGAATAATAATCAGGATTTTTTTTTTACTAAAACTACATCAGAAGGATAGTGTTTGTTTTAAAAAAAACTAAAACAAATATTCAAAGTACATCCACATTATTATGGGGGGGCAAGGAGGTTAAAGGATAGGAATTTAGTTTCCTCCATAGTACAAATAGCATACTTGTAACAAATTCTTAAAAATGAAATCTATGTATATTGAATTTGTTCTAATATGGTACATCTTTAAAATGCTGGATCTTGTGTTACAAACATTATCTGTATGAGATTGTATTATTCACCAAGAATGGTGTTTGGGTAATTTCAGAGACTGTATCCATACGCTGCACTCCAAGGACACTTGGTTGAAGCAAGCTCGGGTGGTGAGGATTGGAGAAGTGCCTTATAAGGTAGAGTGATAACAACAATATTTGGGGGGTAATGTTGAAATTTGTGGCAGGGAATATGTATGTATGAAACTTTTGAAGCTCAAGAATTTTAAAAAATGCTCATTATTTTGCCAGAAGTCAAACTGATGAGGATATTCCCTCCTACCACCTTTAATTCCCCAGGATATCCCTTGACACCCTAATTAACCTTTTCTGGTTAAATGAATACCCTTCCAAAGTACTGGGCAATAGCTGTGCGCCAGTTATTTTCTAAGAGAGTTGTGGGGTGATATATGGGCCCCCCAGACATTCTTGGAAATAATAGGAAGCAGCATGTCAGCTTTAGGGCATATCAGCTTTTTTTTTTTTTGCTTAATTTTTTAATTAAAAAGTATTTCTTTAAAAATAAAGCTAGGTGGAACAGGGTGACTGCAGTACCCAAGAGAGGGGTTTACAGACATATTGGAACTGACAGATACCTAACCTGATTTAATGGACTTTTATTGCCAAATACTGTGATGAAGATTTTGGAAGAGTAGGTGCTTCTTACTCCAAAGGAGATGGGCAAGCTCCTGGTGCACAGCTAACTCTTACATGTTCTCCATGAGGAAGAGACTGTGATGAGCAGGAGTTGAGAGCGTGAGTTTGAGAGTTAGAGCAAGAAGAAGGAATAGATGACACTCTGAACTCTGTCGTGAACTCTGTTGTGTTTGTACAGATGGTTATAGGTTATTCCAACCAAGCAAGAAAAGCACGAATGGCAGAACCTGCAAATCGGGACAAAAAAGATTTGCCATTATTTGGTCTCTGGCAGACCGAGGAATACCAGCCACCTCTGGCTGTTGATGGAAGGGTAAGCTGGCAATTAAGCAAAACGGGTAGGTATTTATACACTCCAATCTCCCGCAGGGTTTATCCCAATGTAAGTTGTACCAGGTGCCTTAAAATGTGGACTTTAATATGGCAGCATTTTTTTTTCTTTGACACTGAAAATGAAGTGTCAAAGATATTCACACTTGCCCCAGATCTCCTGCTGTTTATCTTTTTAACTGAGTGCTTCCTTCTCACCAAGAACCAGTAGCTGCTTAAAAGAATATCCATAATGTCTTTTTTTCCTCCATTCCACTTCACTTTCAGGTTCCTCGGAATGAATTTGGGAATGTCTATCTCTTCCAACCCAGCATGTTACCCATTGGCTGTGTGCAGCTAAAGCTTCCTAACCTTCATAGAGTGGCCCGTAAACTGGACATTGACTGTGTTCCAGCTGTTACAGGATTTGATTTTCATGGTGGTTACTCTCACCCTGTGTAAGTCATAGACTTGTGATCTGGCTTTACTGGGAAACACAGCTGTCCTCTGTCCTACCGCAGGGTCTTTGGATTTATTTAGCATACGTGGCTAGTCACAGTATTGCAGGAAAGCAGAATTACCAGTTTAGTTTTCATCATGCCATGTCTGAAACAGAGTAGGAGCTCAGCACTTGCTCCCCTTCTTTCCATCCACTTTCACAAAAGTGGATTAACTTAGTTCCTCTTCCTTGCTTGTTTAATATTTTTATATCCATGAGTGATGCTGAAGCAATGAACACTCCTTCCTAGAAGAAAGTAGTGCAAATTCTTATCTACTCATTTATGAATACATTTACATCCCATCTTTCTCTTCGCGAGTTCCTGGGTACTTTCCATCTAGTTCTCCAAATGCCATTGAAAGTACTGATATTTAATCTGTTGGAGGGATGGGGAATTTATGGCCATCCAGGTGTTGAAATGTAAGTCTCAGCACCTCTCTCTCTTGCCCATCCAAGGATGAATTGGAATTGGAGTTCAGCAACATTTGGAAGGCCAAAGGTTGTTGCCCAGTCCTAAACACATCTAAACACAAGTCCCTGGGTTGCATTTTGTCCCTGTTCAGTGCATAAATGACAACTTGGACCCTTTTCACAGCACGGAAGGGTATATAATCTGTGAAGAGTACAAAGAAGTGCTTGTTGCAGCCTGGGAGAATGAAGAATCAGAAAGGGAAAAGAGGGAAAAAGAGGTAAGAATTACTTTGAAGATGGGGTCGAAGTCTTTATTAGGAGGAGGGGAGAGGGGTGAACTGCTAGCAGTCAGCAGCATTAACCAAGCTAAGTGGATGGTTAATTTAATTACAGAACTAGCAGATTGTCAATGCTTTTGCAGCTTCTGATAGCATTTCCTAATCTTTCTCTAGCCTGGTGCCCTCCAAATACATAAGGATTGCAGTGATTTGGAACTAAGGGAGTTCTCCCAACACAACTGGAGGGCATAATAAATTTATAATGTATTTATCATTTATCATTTCAACTTGTCCTCAGTGATTCAATCTCTGCAACATTTCTCTTTTTACCATGCACGTGTAGAATTCCCCCCTTCCCCATTAAGGATCAAAAGATTGAACTCCCATGAGGTTTTGGCCCTATTTAATTATTTAGTTTTTGAGATGTGGATCCAATTTTGGGATCCCATAGATGCTATTTGAGGCTGTCACAGATGCTGTAGTGACTAGGGGTGCTACTTTGCCAACCACAGACTTAATGAGGGTGCGCCCTTTGGTTTTCATTCTGGGTGAACTTTAAAAACAGAAGCGGGAGAAGAGAGTGCTGGGAAATTGGAAACTGCTGGCGAAGGGACTTCTGATCAAAGAGAGGCTAGAGAAGCGCTATTCTACCAAGGTAACAAAACATTGGTAATGTATGGATCACAAATCTGAAGTTATTCAAGGCTGTCTGGATATTGGAGTTCGTGTTCAGATTGGCAAAAGAGCAAAATGTTGTGTGTATAGATCTTTTTTAATTGGAGATATAATCTGAAGTAAACTACTTTTCAAGAAATCAACAAGTACTTTAAATGTAACTTCCAATATAGAAAGAGTACTTTTTTCTCACTCTTGAAATGACAAGGGCATTATTTCTTGCTGCATAAATATTAAATGGACTATTTTGCTCACTTATAGTTATCTGGAAGAACAGGATAACTGAATTTACTGGGGCTTACTTTAGAGTACACTTAAATAGGATTGTAATATGACCTGACAGTGGTTTAAATCAAAAACTTGAGAAACCATAAATTGTGTCAACAATATAAATGTTAATGGAACTACATTATGGTAATGTTAAGTGGCTTTTCGGGGTGAAGTATGTGTTATTTGTTGAAAGAAGTATGGTCATCCATTTCAGAAAGTGGGTTCTTTGGGGCTAAAATAATAGAAAAATGTCTTCTCTTTTGCTGTAGCATTTCATGTGAAGTATCTCAATAATGTTTGCTTTGCATTCTGATGGTTCTTGCAGTTGCAGTAGAATTGTTGAAATCTGCAAATATAAATTCTGTAATATGGCTTTGTACAGCCAGTTGTCCATTACTAGTTTTGTTGCAATGCCCTCTGTTAAAGGGGGAGTTCTTCCACCGCATCAGTGGAATATTTAAACTTTCTCTTCTAGAATGAGACAAGAGTCATGGTGGAAAAGGGGTCTGGATTCTCATCCGATGATGAAGAAGGACCAAACTCAGAGACACCTGCTGGAGATATGGCTGTTTCTTGGCCCCAAAATCGGCAAGCTGAGGAACAGAGTGAGAGAGGAAAAAGACTCAAAAAGAGCAAGAGAGAAAAGAAAGGAGAAGCAAAACATTTGTTCCCATTTGAGAAGTTGTGACATGGAGTTTTGGGGCCGGTTTGGATTCTTTGGATTCATGTCTTAGCGTGAACAAGCAAGCACTTTACGTTGCTCCAATGTACGTTCACACTGAATTTTTCCTGCCAGTAGGAGCAACTAAACAGTCAAGAAACCTCCAGCCAGTTTTTCTCATATTGCATTCCTAGACATACGCAGGGCTTGTGTTTGAAGCAAGAAAAATGTTCTGGACCCATTGCTGGCATGCTTGCCATACCTGTCAGTGGCACCTTAAAGAAGCTGTACTAGAATCATGATAGGCACAGCTTTTTTAAGGTGCTGCTGGTAGGTACAGCAAACACATCCATGTTGGAGCAAAGTACCTTTCAGTGTCAGATCTCAACACCTGCAAATGGATTCCTTTTCTTGGAAACTTTGCATCATTAATAAGCTAGACTCATGAGCTTCAGGGAAGTCTTATGAAAGGAACACGTATGTGTACTCACACACATGCTGCAATAGAAAGGTTGGGCTCAAGTTGTATTTTTTTCCCCCCTATATATATATAAAACTTCTAATGGGAATAAATGAAAGTTGTAGACATTTCCTATACATTCCTTCATCTTTAGAAAAGAAACCAGTGTGAAGTATTGGTTCACATTGCTAGTACTATAAATGAGTATAGGACATTTGAGGAGTAGATATATAGTTTCTAGCTGAGCTGGATTTATTCCTTTCTCCTTTTCCTCTTCTGTCCTCACAGGAAACTCTCATGAGTCTTAGCATTTTGTGTATTGATCATGGGACAGATCCCAATTTTAGACATTGCGAATGATGCAGTCTGAGTGGGACTTATTAGAAAAATGGCTTACGGTCTGCCACCACATGTTCAAACATAACTCAATTGCCTAGTGTGCTATTTTGAATGTTTTACCAATGTACACTTTTTTGTGCAAAAGAAATGTTAAGTATAGCAGCTGTCTTACTCAAAGCTATTTTAGAAGTGCATTGGCTGGTTTAGATTTTGGCATGAGAAACTCCATCCATTTGACCTGACCAGAGCTAGTTGGGCACTTTGCATTTGTTCAGAGAAAAAAAATTCTTTTATACTGAACCCTGGGCAAAAAATAAAAACTTGAATTCTGAACACCAGTCTTTTTCTTTTCCTAAGACTGCCATTTGCACATTTAGACACTGAACACTTATTTGATTCACACATCACACGAGCAATTTAGATGATCTTCTCTTGGAAAAGGAGTATACTATACTAGCCTTCCACAGTCTCCCTACAAGCCAAAGACTCCCTGAAATAACATGATTTTAAAGACCTTTCAGAATATGTGGATGGTCAGGCCAGGAGCATGTTCCACAACGTGGAGGCTACTATTGACAAGACCTGCCTTGGGGCCCTGTACTGCCTTTACCTTATGTGCAGAGGGAATCTTGACAGGCCCGCTCAGTGTCTGAATTATGCTTGGTCAGGTTGTCCGAGCCCAAGGCCTTGCTGTTAGGGCTTTTTATGTAATAATCAGCACCTTTAGCTTTTTCTGGAGAAACACCAGATGTGCAATGGCAATATATTGACTTTATTTCAAGCTGTTTTTTTTTTCCAGTAAATGCTAACAACTTACAGAATGAAACCTCAAATACAAGAAGAGGGACTTCTAAAATAAAGCTTTATTCTTTTAATTGCTGAAAGAATATTTTAAAAATCTCAATGTTTTAGTGTGTTTTTTCCTCTCAGAACTTCCTTCTTGTCACCTTAAAAGCATTTTGACAGTCCCATGGAGTTGTGAAATTTGCTCTGGATAAATTTCCAGTATATTCTGAGTCAAGCTATGAGGTAGCACAAAAGCTTCCCAAATATTGTCACATAAGCAGCAATGTCATTCCTGCAGGCAGCACTAGGTTGGGATTGGATGGGTCAGCTGTCTACCTGCCTTGCAAGCAGTGTTTTTAAGTTATTAATCTAGAATGTGGCTTGAAATATAGGGTAGATCTTTAAAAAAAATAATTTGAAAAATAATTTGAAAAATACAGGAATTTCAGCTTATCCTACTTTATCAGGCCTCTGCCTCAAGTACTTTGTCCAATTCTAGGTACCACATCTGAAAGATTCAAACTGGAAAAGGAACAGAGAACAACAACTAGGAAGATTAGAGACCACTTAAGTCCTATGAACAGACATTGACAGAGGCAGGTATGTGAAAGATAAAAGATGACTGAAGGGAGAAATGATAGCACTCTTCAAAAACTTAAAAGGATGACACATAGAGGATGGCATTTTCCTTGTTTCTGAGTACAGGACACAGAATAACTGATTCCAACTGAATGCTAGCTTCCTAACAGTAAGAACACTGTAGAGCAAACTACCAGGGATGGCAAATGCTCCTTTGCTGGATGTGTTCCAACAGAGGCTAGACAGCTATCTGGGATACTTTATTCTGGATTCCTACACCGAACAGGAGCCTGGACTCAGTGGTCTAAATGGCACCTTCAACTCTTAACTCTGTTACCTTTAATAATGAATCGTGGTTTCAAAACACACATGCAAATCATATATATTTTCTTGAAGCTTTATTCGTAAAATAGAAAAGAGGCATTTCCATTCATAGAAATTTTTTTTAAAATGTTACTGTAAAAATAAAGAATACAAACTTTACATTTTAGCTGGAAGCAGTCACCATGCTTCATTCTGTACCAGTGATACAACTGATATCTTAACAAAATGTTAAATAACAACATGGCAAATTGTATCTGGACTTTAATGAAATGAGATCATTCACATTAGATAGCACCACCAAGGAATCCCCACTTAAGTTTGGAATCCAACATTTAAGAGAGCAGGTCCAGGATGATACTAATGAACTCTAATTTACTTCCACAGTTTTGGTTTCCCAACTAGTTGTTACTCTTAGGCTTATAGTACCTCTAATAATGATCTGAGAAGAATACTGATTGACTTCGAATATAGAGTATGAGAGCCTACCTCTCTATCTTGGTAGATTGCAGATATACTCCACCAGAGATTTCTACGTGATCCATGTTTTGGATCATCTCATTGTTGACAATAGTAGTTTGTAATAGAGTATACACTGGCTTTTTCAAATTTGACTGCTTTAGATTCTGTGGCCTACAAATTAAAGTAGCATCTCTATAAAATAGTCCCAATTGAACTGGGACTATCGGAAGGCTGCACAATTTACTGTTCTGAACCCAGCAAAAGCAGTGATTGAAGGTACAAGGAAAAAAAAACGCAATTCTGGCTCACTGTATCCATAAAATATGGATAGCTATTCATATTCTTTGCAGCACTAAGTTTAAAGTAATTCATTTGCTTTCATAATGTGTAAAGTGAACCATTTTAGCTTAGCATTATATACAAGGTAGGTAATTATGGCTTGTTCAACACCAATGGTTAAAAAATCCAGGTCACTGAAGGCTTCATATTTATCTGTCTGAAATTCAGCAGAGTTTATTCCAGAGAAAAGGCAAATGTCTTTTGTCTGGAAAAAATCAACAAAGTTACAAAGTTTGTTTTAAAAATTTAAAGAACCCAATTCTATACCACTGCACCTTTTTTTCTGAAATTGGGCAGGCTTCAAACAAAATCTCGTCAGAGTACAGTCAGTACATTAAGTACCCAGGCTTACTCTACATAATCTTTCATTAAAAAATAATATATTTATTTGCCCATGGAGCAAGTTACATAGAGAGCAGATAGTCTCTTCTCCCTGTTGATATATCTTTGGTTTAGTCTTAAAAATCATAAATTCTTAATGAAACCATCAGGAAATTACTAAGTTGGTTCAGGAAATAATTCTCAGTCTGACAAGTCACAGGTAAAGACCCAGCTGAGATCATAAATCATGTAACATATTTAAAAAATAAAGAAGCATGGGATAAGGATAAATCATAAAACTGAGATACAAGAATGCTGAACATAGTAATAGGAAAATAAACAGCATCACAGCAATGCCAGTGTTGTGTAGGGCACTTTGATCCACTTAAAATTCAAGGTCTTGTAGATAAGGTAAGTTACCTACATGAGAATTCACACAGGATAGTAAGAACAACAAAGATCAAGATAAGTGAAGTATGACAAAAACTGTTGCATGCAGTAAAACTATAATATATAAAGTTATAGTATGGATAAGGAATAGGCAAATTAATATTACAATGGTTTACCCACTCTTCAAAGCCTCATATGGTCCCCATAGAGTCCATTTATCAACTATTCTTCTCAATGAAAATTGGAAGACATTTGAAACAAGTTACCCAGAAAACCTAATCTCCTTGGTCTTGTTACATTTCATTCAACTTTCTATTTAAAAAAAAAAAAAAACTGGGACAGTTGCACTTTTTCATTTGATTCCACTGGGTGTGGAACCTGTGAACCTCTAGATCAGGCCTGCACAACAACTGGCCAGCCAAGCAGCCTTGTGCAGCATGCCGGATTTTTTTAAAAAGTCAATAAATTCACCACTGCCCCGAAAGACATGCTACTGAGCACCTCCAGGCCTCATTGCCACCTCCAATACTGTCACCACACTCCTAGTTGCCAAACAGCTGACTGGCACACCAGGGATTCCTTTGTGGCCTGTGATTATTTTTAATTTATCAATGTGGCCTTTTCTCCTCTACAAGTTGTGCAGTCCTGGTCTAGATATTGCTGATCTACAGATCCCAGCATCCCTGATCATGCTATCAAGGGCACCTGGGAGCTGTAATTCAGAAGCTCTTAGAAGGCCACTAATTCCTTACCCCTGGATTGCATAATAAAAGTAACACATCTAAAACCAAAATAGAATACATTGGTGTTGCATTTTCTGTGTTGCAATATGAAGAAGTTTTTTGTTTTGAGCACAAATCCCACGATGGTAATTGCTTCAAATATGATAAAAGCACTAAATGTATGAAGTTTCCAAAGAAATGCAGGTGCAAATAAGGTCCATGATGTCACTGCTGTTTTTTTGGTGGAACCTGAGATCTTGCAATCAGAATGGGAACTATAGCCAGCAAACCAGTCAATATTGCCCAGAATGGCCGATAGAAGAGCCAGCCCACTGAAATGGTCAGCAGTGATAGAGAAGTGGCTAAACAAAAGGCAAACGCTTTCAAACCAATGTTAACCAGATCCCGGACAAATGGAAACCAATCCACTGTTATGAAAAAAATAAAAATAGAATAAACAAACCATTAGCAATCTTATAAAATACTTTAAATCTGCTTTAAATGTAATCCAATGCCTACTGATTTCACTATAATCTTCAACTCTACAGACTTCTGACCATTAAATGAAGGAACCCCCCCCCCCAGACCTTTACCTGTTACATTAAATACATTTTTCAGCACTCCATAATGAAGAATAGTATTAGTATTCAAATCTCAGTTTAGCCACAGGCTTACAGAATAAGCTTTGGTTAGTTCCTTGTTCTCATAGCTTATCTTTACTGTAGCTCAGTGCTGAAATAACTAATTGCCTTCCCTCCCATTTCAATGAGTTACTATCTAAACTAGAGAATCCAGATTACTGAAATATCTTCTTTGATTTGAATCCAGGAACAATATTCAGCTTCACAGTAATAATTAATATTCTTATCATGTTAGATGATTATGTTTCTTAGACCCAAAGGTTCATTACAACTTTTTGATTAATGCTTTATTTATAAATCAAACTAGGGGGATATTAGCAACACTTACCTAGTGTATGAACAATTCTGGTCATAAGGCTGATGCCTACAAACATAGATAACCATCCAGCTGCACGTAGACCCCAGGTCTTCATGTTGTTACTCTCATGTTCTTTCTGAAATACTTCCTGAAATACAGCAACCAATTATGATAACTCTTTTGATCAGCAGGATACACGCTGCAATTGGACACAGTGCCAAAGCTTAATCTAGCACTATTGGCCTGAGCCTATTCCCTTCCCCTCCACAATCTGCTATCATATTCTAATAAGAATGTTAGTTTCAAATTTTCCTGAACAATCCTAGGCTATAATTATAGTTTGAAATTGTTTTGACAAAACATACTTAAAACTAAGTAATTTGATCCAATTTTGGACATACTAAGAAACTTGCATTAATTGAAAACAGAAGCAAATATTGTCAATTTTGTTCTCATGGCTGCACCAGAGCATTTATGATGACTTTTCAGCTGCAACTGAGCTTCAGATTAACTTAGTGGTTTTAAGGCAGTATAAGATGGAAGAAAAAGAAGAAGGTGTGGGGAAAATCAGTTTATGAAAAGCGTAGATGGAGTTTTGAGAAAAATAGTTTTTACTCAGAATATACTCATTTTCCTCTTGTTCCACCATACAAGCAGTCCCTGATAAGCTTTGCAAGGCCCATGTGCCATTCTTGACATGCAAAACATTATACACTCATACCTTTTAATTGTCCATAAGCATTATTTTTTTCTGCAGAGACTGAAAAGACTTTTTAACCCATCATAAAATGATATTTCTACAAACTGATCTGCACTGCTAACTTACAGCAATATTTCTTGGAGGAAGGTATGAGACAGTGCTGCTATGGAATCATTCTGTGAACTGGAGATATGTCTACAAATGCAACGTCTGCACTGATTAGGACCAAATTCCAGCAGCAGAATTGGAGGAAAGATCCATAGGAAGCTAACTCACACTGGTCACTTAGTTAAGCTCAATACTGCCTACGAGGATTACCAATTTAGGTTAGCCGTTTAGGTTTTCAGACAGGAGCCTCACCATCAGGAGGTAGATCTGCCAGAAACTGAATCAGGGTTGTTTTATGACTGACTTTCAATTCTAAGCTATAGCCCTTGCATAAAAAGAGATACTTTGGGAGGAAGTAGGAAAGAAAGAGATGTTCTCCCATCTTTTATTTATGCAAACAGAAGATGTATAACTCTTCCCTATTATTCTCCTCTCTGCTGATCTGTAACTCTTACCTCAGCTGTGAGCTCTCCAGAATAGAGAAAATATAAGACATCCCCAGATTTGGTTTGGTATGAAACCAAGTGATCCCCTTGCTGACGAGCAACTATGGTCACCTGAAAAGGGGCAGAGGTGAGAAATTAAGAAATTTGCACGTTAATGTTGGAGAGCTTTATCTAGTTACATGAGGAGATGTTGAAGAGATACAGAACATTTACCATATCTGGTGGACCCATGTGTGAGAAGTCTTCACTCAAACCTGCATAGAAGAATGAAACACGAAGATCCCCAACCTGAAAACAGGAAAAACAAAACAAAACTGCTGGGCAACAAAAGCTTCCCAGTGGAGGTTTTAGATCAAAGGTTCTCATATTCTCTGAGTTCAGGTTCAAAGAGGTTCCCAGGCAACAAGGATATGACAAAGCAAAAAGTACAATGCCGAGGAACAGTAGGGGGGGAAAACAAGAGTTTACTCTTTTAATTGTTTCTTTTCCTCTTGATTTCTTACTTCTGGACGTCGAGGATTCTCACTATGAAAGAAATAATTCCCTGAGCGGATCACATCTGCATGAGGGTCTTCTAGTTTTGATAGGCTCATCTGCTTGAAATTATCGATCTTCTCAATAAGGCCTAAAAGTAGGAATAAGAAATCATTTTTGCCCGAGACTTATGGACACATTAGGAAATTTCACTGAAGGAGAATGCATAAAGTGGGCATAGCCAGAGGTCAGAATGAACGTGGCCATCCTTCATGCTGTCATGCAAGGCCTCTCCTCACTCCATGCTATATAGACTCCATGCTATATGGTCATCTCACAAACTTTCTAAGTTCTTCCTATGAAGCAAAATGAAAGAAAATGGGCACCAATATGATGACACTCCAAGTGCCAAATGAACGCCACATAGAAGAAGGCTAAGAGCTATTTCTATCATCCCAGAGCATCAGACATGGAATAACTGTCTTAAGTTACACAAAGACAGATTCTTGGTGGATGTTAGAAAAGCTTTCCTGATAGTAAAAGCAGTTCAACAGCAGAAGCAACCATCCAGAGATACAGTGGGTTCCCCTTCACTGAACGTGTTTTAAGCACAGCCTAAAAAGCCATTTGTCATGGATGCTGGATTACTGCACTGAGTAAGGGTTGGACTCAACAGCTTAAAAATGCCTTTTAATTCTATGATTCCTTAATTCCCCTTTCTCACCATACAGAACTAAAATGGAGAAGGCAGGCATGGTGCGGGGGAGCATCATGTCAGACCAGAAAAGCTTACAGGCAGATTTGGCTAATGTCCTGATAAGAACACAAGGTTTCCCATGCACAGAATAACTATACTATGCTTTAGAATATGGTACTTATTCCAAAAGGTATTTTGATAATGCCGATATTTTGATACTGTTTCATGCTCTGCTCCATACAATTTAAACCATGGCAACTGGAAAACTAAGATTATTTAAATTAAAATTTCTTTAGCTACTCTTCCAAAATGCTACCAAGTTGGGAGGATTTCCCCCTATCTGCCTTGTTAAATACATCTTAGTTAAATAAATCCAACTTTCATACCCCTGGAAAGAATGAATTTGCCAACTTGAACATCAGGAGCAACTGCAGTGAAAGATTCGACAGCCATGGCGCTGCACAGACAAAAAGAATGACCAGATGAATTTCAGCATGGTAGGCACAAAGTCACAAAAGAGTCAGCAAACCTTCTAGCTATTCACCACCACAAAGACATACTCCAGTGTTTCCAAACAAAATAGCTAGCATGAAAGTATCCCCAGCCAGAAAACCATATACACACATTTGCTATCCTGCCACCTTGTCTAGCTTCCAGAATAGAGCCTAGTGAATCAGTTAGAAATCTTACTTAGATTCCTAATTTAGAACCCCAAGGACAGCGTTGGAAGAGCCACAGTGTAGAGAAATATCAAGTTTACCTAGGGTTTTTATGTCCAATTTCTCGGTCAAAATTTCTGCTGTTCACAACTTCTGATTTCCATTCTGTATCTAAAAGGGAAATACAGAAATAATAATATGAACAATGCTATCCTGATTCCTGGAAGATGTCCCAGGACTCATAGATGATGGGTGTTTCCCTTTGTCCCTGTAATTCTGTATACTCTTATATGGGAGTAAGTGCTGGTGAACACCACAGGTAGGATTCTTCTCTAAGCATATGCTGATTTTTTCTCAGGATCTACTGTTCATGAACAGACACACATACAGGACAAATTATGTTTTGGGATGTATTAACAGGAGCATAGAGTCCAGATCATAAGAAATAATTTTCCCACTCTATATTTCCCAATATTGACTCCAGTTCTGGGCACCACAGTCTAAAAAGGACAACAACAAACTACAGCGAAGACGGTGAAGGGACTGGAAACCCAGCCCAGTGAGGAACAATTAAAGGGATTAGGTAAATCTAGCCTGCAGAAGAGAAGAGTGAGAAGAAATAAAATAACAATCTTCAAATATCATATACAGGAAGGAACAGACTTGTTCTCTGTTGCCCCAGAAAACAGGACAAGAGCCAATGAACTGAAACTATGGGTATATGTATCGGGAGGAATTGCCTGATGGTAAGAATTATCAACCGTGGAGCACGTTGCCTCATGAAATGGTATGTTCCCCTTCCTTGGAAATCTTCAAACAGAGATAACCACCTGTGTGAAATGTTTTAACAGATCCTACCGAAGAAGGGGCTTGGACTGGATGACCAAGCCACCTTTCAACTCTATGATCCTATCAATAAAATTCAATGAAAACTTGCTTTCTGTGGTTTGCAAGCACTGAAGCTCAGATAACCTTGGCATAACATGAACATCACTCATGTGGATGCAATGTTCTAGCTAAAAAGGAAAATATACTTTTGTCTCCTTCAGTATTTTTGTAACCAACTAAACAGAATAACCCTGCTTATTTCATTTTGAACTTCATGAAGGACGTAGAGAATGCAAATGCAGTAAAAAAATAATGTTCCAAGTTCAGAATGTCACAGATAAAATTGCCAACTTTTTTCCTGTCAGTGGGTCTCCCTTATAACATGACAGGTAGAAATTCAACAAACAACTCTCGCCATCATTTGTTGTAGCAGCACAGGACAGTTTTTTCCTGGCTGGAGAAGAGCGGCCTTTAATCAAAGCCACACCCAGTGATAGTTTCATGAGACAAATTTCTGTACTAGCAAACTTACTGTAAGAATATCTTGTTTCTTTCTTTACTTCACCATTTTCTTCATATTCTCTACAAGAAGGGGAAAAATCATAAGATACATAAAGATACATAAAAATACATAAAGTAGAGCTTAGGAGAAGCTTATCATATTTTACACAATATTTTACTATAAATAATAATTTTAGCTAAAATTAGCTAAACTTTGAACTAATTCATGTGGATGCCCTCACGCAGAGGGCTCCCGGTACTATCAATTTAAAAGCTTTTGTAGAGTTATTAATACATTTCCAAGGCATAAATGTATCAGCTTTTGAAACTGTGTCCATACCTCACAGTTCATTAAAAATGCAAGCCTCCTGTCCAGAGAAGGAACTCTGTAATAAGTTAATTACTTGATGGTTTCTTGCCTGCTTATCTATGTCCTTGTATCTTGCTCCCATGAAGCTTGAAACCTAGTAGTCTTGAGTAGGAAATTTCCAAATTTCTAATACACACACAGACATGCACACATCTCTACCAGCTATAGTTCCATCAGACTTTTTTGGGGGTGGTGGGGAATCAAGGCACACTTTGAAATAGGACATAAACCTTGAGGGAGAAAACGGAATTTTCAGATAGATAGAAATTCCCTTCCCCAACCAGCCAAAACATAGACAGACTAACATAGAACCTTTCTTGATTCATGCTGGATTCAAGGGACCAAATATTTTTAGTTGCCCTATAAGCCCAACCTGAAATGAAAAGAGCTATTCTTTTGCTCTACAGTAATAATGTGTGTTAAATTAGGAAGGTCAAACAGATCTTACTATGGCTGGTGTGGGTCTTCTGGGCTGTGTGGCTGTGTTCTGGAAGTTTTGTTT